CCAAAATACGGAAGAAGATAACATTCTAAAAAAGAAAAAGTGAACCACAGAACTGATAGTTTCTTTTTAAATAGAATAAAGGTGACCAACGAGCACACAGTCCACCTGATGGTAAGTGGATGTTGTGGCCCATAGACATCTACATTTATCCTCGATTACGAATCAAAATGCAGATGCGTTGTCTGTCACCCGTGAGGACTAAGATGATATGCCTCATTTCCAGTAAAAAGGGTTTCCGGATCTCTACACTCACCATATGAAACACAGCAGTATTAAGCTTTTTTACACTGGTATTCTGTGAGAGCGTGGTCCTTCCCCGGTCGAGCCGACCCATTCGTGCTACAACCATAATATAGCTGCAGCATGGATCTACTACGTATAAACAGTACAAAGTAATATCCTGCAGTTATCGATGTCCAGCAATAAAGGGGGAAGGGTTATTGATGATGAAAGAATTGCACGCAGCATTAGCAATGACCCCATTCTCATCAGCAGGAAAAAATCACAACATGGAAGATTTGTCAAAGTCAAACACGCTTGGCTGGCGAATTGGCGATCACCATCTTCAACAGGTTTAAATTACCTCTGGTGAAAACACTTAGTAGTTACTACTATTGGTAGTTGTAAAATGGTAATTACATTTTGTTTTCCAGCACCCGAAACGTCGGGTAAAAAAGACTATACTGGACGGCCCCAACCATTGCATCAGATTTGATAGACCACAAATCCTCGCGAAAGAACATCGATTCCTACCAAGGATGATACGTGAGGCTATTGAAATTATAAAAACATACTAAATTCAACACAGTAGGAGGCTAGGTACTACCACCTGCTTGGAATGCTGTTATTAATAAAATTAAAACTAAACTCAAGCATACCACTGCAAGACTTCAAGACACAGTAAGTTCATTCTGCGTAGATCGGACCATAAATAATAATTAAAAAGCTGAAGGTAACTCCGGGTTAACACTGACATCGGAGCTTCAGTCACCTCAGCCCCCGTGACTATAGGTGCTGGAATGCGCACCAAACATCGGGTATTAAAAATAAAATAAATTAAAGGCGATAAAATCCTTAAAAGTTGTTCTAATCAATATATAATGTTCGCGTAAATATAAGAAATCATTATGTATTTTGTTCCTTTACCGAGGATAGATGTAGAAGAGGTCTATGGACCACAGAATTATGCATACCACCCATCTTTACATATATTATAAAGAGAGAATGCGAATTTAGAGAGTTAAATATATTATTATTTCGAAATTTATGAAGATATTCGTCAACTAAGTCGGAAATCTCGTCACTTTTGAGAGCTTATTTAAAGTTGCACGAAGATAATGTGTGGCTGTATTGTTCCTGTTGAATAGTCCTATAAAAAGGCCGTGTCAACATATGTCTATCTTCTGAAGATAAATTACAGTAACCGTTTTTATATAAAAGTTCTCGCGCGATAAAAAAAAAGTATAATCGCCGTCGGCGCGGCGGTGTCGAGGATGTTGACGCGGGAGTGACATAACATTATAAGAATATTATTCAACCCGAACAAATTTGGGGCATGCCGCTAGTTCTATAGTAAAAAGGTATATATGAGTAAATATATTAACTTAGAGAGAAAGCACGCGTGGTATTAATGCAACTGGACACTCAGAACCCAATATCCGCGCCGCAAACCGCAGCCGCGTGTCTGTACTTACCAGCATAATTGATACTCAGCAGCGCAGCTGTGTAGGTTCACAATGCCACCTATGCAAACCCAGGACGTCTATATTCACCCTATGATCCTCTCCTTAGCGAGGGATCTAAGGGCAATGCTACTACTGCTATACAAACAATGCACCTTAACAATTAACGAACGAAACACCAGTGTCCGTAGAACAATGGCGACGTATTCAAAAATGCCGTTCTCATTTTATTTTAACACTGATTCAACAAACAGTCCACCTGATGGTATCTACTGCAGTCCTTATCCTTTGTACTAAGAAAAGGTTTTTTTATATAGGATAGGGTGACAAACGAGCACACAGTCCACCTGATGGTAAGTGGTTGCTGTGGCCCATAGACATAGCCTACATGTATCATCGACTACGAATCAAAATACAGATGCGTTGTCACCCGTGAGGACTAAGGTGGAGTGCCTGACCCTTATCCTGACGCTAGATTTTTCTAAGGTTTTCCTTCACGTATATATATATTATATATATTATAGTACCTGGATGACCGAGCATTGCTCGGTATTTTTTATTTTTGGAAATCGTGTGGTTTGGAAATTATATTTAAATAAAAATTACATACTGATAAAATATGAAGAATAATTTTTGATCTTACCGACATAATAGGAAAAACTGAGCTGGTTATAGAATAAAAAATCATAAGTGAAAATAAATTTTCGTATTTAAAAAAAAATACTAAAAAAAGGGCTCGAAATAATAAATTTTCTCATAAAAGAAGGAAACTTGAAAAAAAAGGAAAAAACTCAGACCGAAGCTAAGACACGAACCAGGGAACTACGTCTTCGCGACGGGCCAATATCCACTTGAGCTATTACGATCAATTAATACAGTGTCAAAATTTACCTTCGTATATTGTAGCAGTTTTTCATTGCCTGAAATCACGGACAAAACGACATTTTCTAAAGATGAATCCTAGCTAGATCGATTTATTGCCCCCGAAACCCTCTGGACACTAAATTTTATGAAAATCGTTGGAGCCGTTTCCGAGATTCCGATTATATATATATATATAACTATTGATCCGCCCCAACTTTACAAGTGTGATTTCTGGATCTTGACAACAGCGTCACCTACTGTTTCAAACTGTGAATCTAAACCATTCTCGAATCAACTTAATTACTTTATAGGTGCTAGAGTGAACAGGTTGGCTCGACCGGGGCAGGACCACGCTCTCATAGAATACCAGCGTAAAATAGTAGCTTAATGCTGCTGTGTTTGGTATGATAAGTGTAGAGAACCGGAGATCCTTTTTACTGCAAACGAGGTATTCCATTTTAGTCCTTACGGGTTACAACGCATCTGCATTTTGATTCGTAATCGAGGATAGATGTAGATGTCTATGGGCCACAGAAACCACTTATCATCATGTGGACTGTGTGCTCGTTTGTCACCCTATCCTATAATAAAAACACACACACACACATACACAATTTCATCAAAACCCGACGGTGGAAACACATGGACAGAAGAAAGATGAAACTTATTTCCCATACTCTACATAAGTTGGTGAGTATGATGAGTATATGATCAATGACGAGAACCGGAGACTGTTCTGGTAACGACGCATTCCTCCTTAGTCCTGAGGGGTGAGAACTAAGCTATATTTTTACTCTTGATCGAGAATAAAATTAGGTGTCGTCATAGCCTCCACTTACTATCAGGTGGACCGTGTGGTTGTCTGTCATCTTTACTTTTACAAAAAAAGGTGAAAGGAAGATACAGGCCCTGACAATGTCCCCAAGGAAGAGACGCTCTTCCACCTAGTTAACTAACAGAACAACTAGTGCGAGGATGTAGGTTCGGCGTCCACTAATCCACCTTTGTCTAATGTGAATGTGTGTGTGAATTCAAATTTTCAATTAATAAAATTTGATTTAATTTTGGTTTGTTAAAAGCTTTTATTAACGTCAAATCTACACCGGTTCTCTATTGACACAATCTCCAAAATGCATAATATCCACCAGTGGAATAAAAAATCTAATAGTTTGAAAAGTAGAAGAGAAATGAGAAGAAGCTTAGAGAAGATGGTGTTATTATAGGCCATTGTGTTATTACGTATCTATAGCACGCCTCACAACGTGCGAGCGTGTTGTGTGCGGGAGTGCTCTACTCTCGATATGCCACATGTGACGATTTTGCAATATAAAATTATTAGTGTCTCAATTTAAAAAATAAAAAGGGATGTTTTGAAAACTATAGTCACAATAAATTATAAAGTCAGCATTTTTTTTAATTTATTTGTATTGCTATATTTACTAAAAATGTAAGGTCATCCGGGGCTATTGTAGCTAGGGGGAAAAATGTAGCTAACTGGAAATAACTCATTCCAGTAAAGCTTTTGAAGCAAGTGATATCTGTGGCTTTGTAGAGAAATTCAAGTTACCTTACATATCAATAAATGGCATAAGTGGCATTTATAGATTGTCAGTTTCCAACCGCTTTTTTATTCCTCCATTTTGAAGTTAGTCAGTGCTAAGTGTCCGCTGAGAAAAAATATCTCAAAAAATATCGTTTTTGGATGAAATTGAAAAGTGTTTTGAGGTGATTCGAGAAATTATTTATGGTAAGTCATTTTCAATGTGTTTGTTTCATCTTACGAGAAAGCTAAGTCATGATTTGAAGGCTAGCTACTTTTGCCTCATCTAAATTGGAACCATGGGTAATTGTAGCTGTTTTGGCAGCTACAATTGCCCCCATCGTTTTATATGAAATACGGAAATACTAATGATGTCCCTGTGTCGATCTAAATATTGTTAATGTCGATACCTACAAATAAAAAAAATAACCATGCAAGGTGGTTAGTGACTCAGACGAGCTCTTCAGGATTCACTCACTCCATGATTATGAGCAACTTTCCCAAGGAATCGATATACCGGAAATGGTTTTTTTTTACTTTTTTTATACAAAATAAGTGCATATTATTTACGAACTTTCAAACTTACCAAACACATTTTATATCAGCTGATTGCATTAATTACATAACGCATCGAATTTACAACTTTTTAAAGTCATTTAATATCACCCAAAAATTATGTATAAAGTATATTAATATAGGTTATCTTATGTTTTAGATGGTTCTGAACTACAAACGCAAAAAATAAATACCCTACACAAGAGAAAATCTTTTAAAAGCAGTCGAGGAAGAATTGGCTGTGGAAAAAATTCAATGTTCCCAGAGCCACGATTTATGCGAATGTAACCGTAACACGTGGAATAAAAAAATCTACATCTGGAAGATCCACGGTTTTTAGTCAAGATATAGAGCTGAGAATGGCAAACTGTCTTGGCGTAATGGAAAAATATGGCTACCCTTTAACTCGCAAAGAAGTGTTATCACTGATTAGCGAATATATTAGAAGAAATGGTATCGTGACAACACTTAAGAATGATATACCAGGCGATGACTGGTTTCGAGGTTTCAGGAGAAGACACAATTTCTCTTTAAAAAAACCGCAGTTGGTGGAAGTTGCGAGAAGAAAGGAGGCGTGTAATCCCTTTACCGTATATGAGTATTTTGACATACCCGCAAAAGAAATTCAAGATTTGAATTTAACTTCCGCACCCGATCGTATTTATAACTTAGACGAGACTAGTTTTTGTCTTGACCCAACGAAAAGCAAAGTGGTTGAATAAGTTGGTGAATGTTGTACCAGAACTACCAGTTCACCAGGCAGACCCAATACAACTGTTCTTTTAGCGGCCAATGCAAATGGTGATTAAAGTGCCGCCCCCTATCGTTTTCCAAGGAAAATATTTATGGAATGAGTGGTTTTACCCCAGCGAAAAAGTGGAAGCGGCATATGCTGTCGGCAAGAAAGGATGGATGGGATGCAGTATATTTGAAAAATATATGAAAGATGTTTTTGTGCCTAATTTTTGTGATTAATTTAAAGTTTTATTTCTTAATAACGTTATAAGTAATTACTCTTCATATAATTGTTTACATTTTTGATTTTGTCAATTGTATTTTTCTCAAGCACAGTTTTTTATCACAAAACACGTACCTATATAATAGTTTATTATTGATCATGGGGAAAAATGGCGAGTTTTCGAAATGCAACTGACACTTTATGTGTGACCGACTGAATACAGGGTCATTTGTAAAATGTTAAATCGTAAAAATACCAGCAACTTTTTATATGGTTCATCAAATCGGATATCCATTTTTTTTTTCGACTTTTTATAAATTTACCGATCTAGCTCCCGGTTTTGTATGGGAAGTCGAAGTTTTTTCAAAATGACGTGTTATATGGAAAAAAAAGTTTCTATTGACATTAACCGGAGTAGGGAGGGACAAGCTAATAAAATCAGCAATTCTAAATATTATCAGAACTTGAAAATTGTAATTCCAATTCTCTGTTAATTACCTACTATTTGTTTGAATTTGAATATAAAATAAATTCATCATCAATGTTATCGAGATTCTATGTCCCAACACTAACATTATGAAGGATAGTTACATTTACCCCCAAGTAATAGTTTTAGTAATTTTAAACGAAATTGAACGCTAGTACAAAGTACCAAGATACAAAATCAGTTGATTTTATTTAGAAGCAGCCTTCTTCACTTTGACTTATATAGATTCAAAAACAAAGGTTTTAGAAAGAGCGACTACATTTACCCCAACCGGGGGTAAACGTGACTATTCAATGCCTCTACGTGCAATTCGTTGAATTTAAAAATAACTTATTGATTTAAAATCAATCTAATTTATTTTATAAAATCCTTAATACATGTTTTATGAAAAGAATTCCTAAAATTTGACAATGCAGTACTGATGAGTAGAAAAAATTAAAGTTAAACGTTTAACATAAGTTTTAGTAGCTACAATAGCCCCGGGTGACCTTAGTTAAAAATGATAGTACGGCTGTCAGTCTGTGCACAGGTTTGTCTTTTCGTTTAGAAAAAAATACGCAACGAAATGAAATAAATCTTTCTGAATAAGTTTCCATTTATTTTCAGGATGATCCCTATTACTGGTTGTCATCAGGCTCATAGACGTTTATAAAATATTTATTACTTTTATCAAAATTTCATTAAATTTTTTAAAAAAGTAACGCTCATGAGGCGTTAACTTTTTTGGATTCCTTTATAGTGCGATAAGATCGGCGGTCGGCAAGTTAGGACACAGTCAGACATATGAGGGCCATAACGCGATACAATCAGACCCAAAAACCATCGATTTGAGTTTTTACACAGACATATCCGAGACCTGCAACGTAGCCAAGTACGCTGCTCACTATGCTAAGCAATTGTCAAATTGCCATCCCAGTGAACTACCATTAGCACGTCGTATTGAACGTTACTCGAGCACGTCGAGATCTCAGAATCGGTTTCCTAATGACTCACAAAAAGAATACAATAGAAAGAAGGAGACGGAGAGGGGAAGTCTTTACAAAGTTGTAATACGGCATCAATAAACGTTTCCTAATGGAAGTTCGATCCAAGTGCATATTTGCCTTAAGTGGAGCAGTTTTCGAGGTACACAATGCGCTTTCCCCCTCGCAGATCGAATGAGCAATGGTGGAAAGCGGTATCAGGTCGCCGACGAATGGTTGGCTTTGTGCATTATATTCGATGCGTTATGCGGTTTACGCTTCGACGAATATATTAAAGATCGTGAAAGTTTACTATGTAATGTCTCACAATGATACTAAAAGAAATTAAGTTTTTAGCGGAGTTTAAAAAAAACTAGAAATTTTTAAATATATTCGACACGCATGATTTTTTTTTTAATTTAAGCCCGATGGTGGTTGTCGTCCTTGCCGCTTGGTGGCACGAAGAGTTTTATTCCGAATTCACTACGTATTTTTCGCAGTGTAAATAAATTTATCAGTAACTCGATCAGAGCGCCATCTACCGGGTCTTAATTTTGTGATTACTTTTTTGGAATAAATTATATTGTGAAATAATTTGTCTGCGTATCTACCTATGCGATCCTAAAACAGTTATGAACTTCTTCATATCTTTTTTATGAAAGTATCACCAAAGTTTGTACATATTGTTAAGAGGTTAGAGTAAGTCAGCTCAAATTCTAATTTCGCCCCCCACTTCCCCGCGCGTCGTATGCTATGTACCGAAATATTTGTAATCACTAATACTGTAAGTAGAAAGGTCGTTAGACACTTATTTCATTAGGTTTATCATACTTATGCCTGTTTCTTAAAGCCAAGCCAGCCGCTTCCTATTTTTATCACGGTTATTTCCCATTTTAATTTTACGTCGTACTGTTGCGTAATGTATATTCTGATCGTAAGCGACACAACTTCTCCCTTCAAAAGCCTAAGCGATACTAACGGAACGACAGGAATCAAGCTCAAGACGCCGATAGTTTAGGTAATTTCTTTTTTACAGTGAAAATAATGGTATTTTAAAAAAAGTAAATAACATAAGCACTGCTTTATAGTTAGTTCAGTTAGTATGCAAAGTTTCATGATCTTATTTAAAGTATTTTATGAATAACAGCGGTTTATTGTTTATTTTGGAGGTAACTTTGATGATTTTTTTTCTATCGAGAAAATTTTACGAAATCGTGTTTTCGTCTAACATAATCACTAACATTAATCCTCGACTTTACCATATATTTATTTCAAAATTAATGCTGCAATATTTTCGGCATAACGAAGGATCTTGCTAAGCCATTTGACATTATATTTCCCCTTAACTGTGTGATTTAATAATTTTCTTAAGAATTCGAATATTCGAAGCTGTTTTTATACGTAGGAAGTCTCGTTTCTCCTCGACAAAACAAATATATTGTGTGATTATGACCTCAATTGACCGATTTTACCAAGTAGTTTAGAAGATACACGATCACCAACAGACGCACTAACCATTTTATATATTAAGTGTTTTTAACATGCACTGCGACTCCAAGTTTCAGAGCATGTAATATTCTCTACGACTGGTCTTTTACTCTTATTTCTGAGAAGGATATGGAGCAATTAATCCTGCGCGCTGCTCCAATGCGTGTTGGTGGACTACACAGTATATCATTAAACTATTTTCAATCTTCAGCACACACAGGTTCACCTCACGATATTTTCCTTCGCCGCCAAGCACAAGGTAAATCAGTACATAAAATTACAACTACCAATTTATTAGTGCCGAAGGAGACTTAACTAGGTTTACGCGCATTCTTCATTTAACACGGCTGTAACCACTAATAGGTATAAATTTCGCAGAAAGTAATTAACGCCGACGATACAAAAACTCCTAAGCCGCTTTTGCTGAACAGGAATTTCAGAATTACAATCACTATTTAATAACTTCTCTGAATAGTTTGCTTAACCTTAATTTGTCTGTTGGTATACAAACAAATAAAGGTGATTGGATTTGTCGGTTGCACATTTATCAGTACTCACCGGATGACCGAATACATTAATTGATAACGGTTGTCTTTTTAAACTATTTCTAATACGCAACGCATTTTTGTCGTATTTTTATAAGTATCATTTTTTCTACGTCGTATTTTATTAAGTTCTTGGTCTTATCGTATAGTGGCGATGTATGAATATCCAGTAGCATATACAGTAGAATATAAAGTAGCACATTCCTATTAAAACCTCAAGCTAATAACAAACTGCGGTTGCCAATCCACCTGCCAAGCGTGACAACTATAGCAAAATCCCCAGTATAATTTAAATAAAACTAGTTTTTACGAATTTTATCGCGTATATTGACTTATTTTATATACCCGACGTTTTGAGCACTTAAGAGCACCCATAGTCACGGAGGTGGGAGTGAAGTGTTCGACGTTGGTAGTTAACCACGGCTACCTCCAGATTAAAATTATTAATTTTTATCCCGATTTACGCATTATGAACTTATAGTATCTTGAACTCTTGCAGTTATGTTTGGGTTGGGATTTAATTTTATTAATTATAAAATCCGAAGCAGATGATAATACCCAGATATTTTTATTTAAATTGGAATGTTTTTTTTATCGCGAATCTTCCTTACAAGGATTCGGTGTTCTTTGGCGAGCATCTGATGTAGTGACGGGGGCGATCCTGTACGTACGTACTACACAGACTGCAGACTTCTGAGATTTTATAAGAAATCATTATCCCCACTCAAGGCAATATATGAGAGAGGTTTTTGTTTAGCAGTGGACTTTAAAGGCTGTAATAAGTGGATGAATGGATGAATGAATCATCTAACAATAAGCAACTGACAAAAGCATGCTAAGTTCCATAACTACATTCGAACTGAACAGAAATACTGTTAACTAGCTTGCCAGGCAGACGTTGATCTGCCCTTTTTGACGACCCTTTCTCATGTCCTATTAAAAATCCTTCATCATCATCATCATCATTACAGCCCTTCACAAGTCCACTGCTGAACATAGGCCTCCCCCAAGTAATGCCACAAAGCACGGTCCTGAGCCACCTGCATCCATCGACTTACATGTCTTACCAGGTCGTCACTCCATCTAGTGGGGGGTCGCCCTACACTACGCCTACCGGTACGAGGCTGCCACTCAAGAACCTTTCTTCCTCATCGGTTATCGGTTCTTCGAGCTATATGGCCGGCCCATTGCCACTTCAGCTTACTAATCCGTTGGGCAATGTCGGTCACTCTGGTTTTACTGCAGATATCCTCATTTCTGAGTCTATCACGCAGAGAAACTC